TCTTCTTCTCTCTCTTCCTCTCTCTCTCTCTCTCTCTCTCTCTCTCTCTCTCTCACACACTCGCTCACTGACTCACTCACTCACTCGCTCGCTCACATCACTTGCACGCAAGCTCCTCGTGACTTGGAAAGATAGAGCATATGCGCTCGAAAATCTTGTAGTTGAGATTCATCGTGAAATAGATCCACATATATGTACCAATCCTATTCTTATAATATACAGGATAATTGAGTAATAGGATTGTACGCAAAAAAGAACTACTGCAATCTGTTTCTTCTTGTGATTGAATTTAAATTCATTTCCTTATTGTTTTTTTGTAATGTTGAAGGTACGTCCAATAATGTCATCGATTAACAGTATCGATTCTCAAGGCACATTACAGTGGGATATGATGGAACTAGCTCGTCATCTGCGGCAGGAAAGACTCTTTGTCAACTCGGAACAACAAAACTTACAGGCTCTTAATGAACGAGTAAGTTTTATTGGAATATACATATCTCCATGATACTTTCAACTTTCATAGCATTTATAATAAAAAAAGATTTATTTTAATATATAAAAATTTATATAAAAAAGAATATTTATATAAAAAAAGATAAATTTAGATGTGTTTATTTAATAAGAATGTATTTAAAACATTCTATTTTATTTAGGTCTTGTTCGTCTCATCACAGTTAGCACAGCAAGCATGGATAACCGCTCAACAGAGAGTCAATCTGAATCGCTTGATAGTGGCGAGGCCGGATTGTACTCCAGCATCATGTTGCCTAAAAGCAAATGCATTGGAAAATTCTCATTTTATCGACGCATATAAGTACTTGCGCTATCAGGCATGTTTGTCCTATGGAGAATTCCTGGGTGCACTGCGAAAATCACCCAAACTCCTTGCTTCGTGCCTAGTCGAGGGAGACAGAGTCATTCCAGAATCAATGCAGACAATCATACAATGCTTGGCTGCTGGATTATATGGCAGCTGTATATTGCCAGAGGACAAAAGTTTAGTTCTCCAGTTGCTGAGGCATCTTATGTTGTTGCAGATAATTCCGTCTGACAATCCGCGAAGGTTGCTCAGGCACGGCACCTGCGCATTTTCCAGATTTTACTCCATTTTTCACGAAAGCCTGTTTTCTGCAAAGCTTTTCTTAACAGCAGCTTTGCATAACCCTATAGTGCAATTACTCATGGAAGATGAAATGTTCCTGGACATCGATCCGGATAAAGCGCCTATTAGATTTCCACCTGCAGAGAGATTGAAGAAATTCGGAAAAGAGGGCACGCCCGAGTATCAAGCAAAATTACAGCGTTACAGACTGTGGACAGTTAATTCTTTGTATCGTATTACACAGAGATTTATTGTTAACATTCGCGAAACAATGTACTGCTTTCCTACGAGTGTTTGCTGGCTTGTAAGACAAATGGCAGGGCTCCTTAGCAAGAATGGAAATGTAGATCCGAAAGAAGTACATGCCATGTGCACGGATCTTGTATTTACGTACTTTATTTGCCCTGCTATAGTTAATCCAGAACCTTATGGTATTACCGATGCACCGATAAGTTACGTCGCGAGGTTCAATTTGATGCAAGTTGGACAAATTTTGCAATTGCTTTCGCTACAAAAATATCAAAGTATCGATAATAAAGTTATTGATCTTTATAAAAAGTTCGAGAAGGATTCGGTGTCTTCCATAATAGATTTGATGCTGGATGGTGCGACGGAAGAACTGGAGGAGGAACCAACGATGATTGACAATAATAAATTTCAAGGCCTGTCACGATCCGCAGCATTGTTTACGGAAAGTGAATTGAATTCCTTAATTACGTTTTTAAATACAATTGCTGGTGATAACAATGGAGAAACGACATCGCATAATTCATTCGATAGAAAACAATTAGTCGAGATGCTGTCACAATTACCTTCAGGTTTACTGCATAATAATAAACTGAGTAATGAATATTTAGAAACACCTAACAAACGAGGTGTTACAGGTGCTACAGGGAAAGGTTATTAATTTAAATTGTATATTAATATAAACAATATAAAAAATTACGTAACAATTATATGTGTTTTAATTATTACATTGTGCTATAATATTACAATATTTGATAATAGGAAAAGGACGTATAAGGATGACTACATTTTCACCAAATGTAACAAACGAAAGTGGAGAAGAAATTAATGGCACTGCTGCTGTTGCTGCTGCTGCTGCTGCTGCTGAAGAAGAAACATTGGATAAAAATTCTCAAGACGTACTAGTCATACCTTTCGGTCCAACAAGTGGAGAATCCATAGGACTACTCAGTGAACAGAAAGTATATATCGATATTTACTTATTCATTGCATATTATTTTATTGTTTTGTATATTTAATAACAAACTACATTATATGCATAACTTTTATAAAATCATATATTGCTTAACAAAAAAATGTATTTATTTAAAAATTAGTCTTATATCACTTTACAGAAATTGATAATTATAAAAAGTATAATATAAATAATATTAACAGAGAAAAGGAATCTCGATATTATATAATATAACAATGTACAGAATAATAGACTAATCAGCGCTGTAAATGGTGCGTAAATTATATGTTTATAATCTTAATTACATTTATTAATAGAAAGTTCCAGACGCTTCGATTCGAGTTTGAGATAACTTCAGTGGTACAAACATATAAGGATATATCTCTGAGTTGGTGAGTCCAATCAAAAAATAATGATATGTCACTCCTGTCAGTTGACTAAAAGAAATTATTAATTACAAAGTAAATTTTTAATGTGAAAGGGATACATTCAAACCGTTTATATGAAATAAAAAAGAAAGGATAGTTATAAAATGATTGTCACTCACCAAATGGATACAGGTCACAATAGAAGGGAAAAAAATCCAAGTTTTGCAAATTTAATATTAATTTTTTTTGAAGGAAGAAAATGTTGAATTGAACTATTAAGAATAGGTTGTTAAATGCGATGAATATCAAGAACTTCAAATACTTCTTTGGATACATCTCGCAAAAAATTGAATGGTTACATCACCAATGGTTTATTTTGGGAATTTCTATTAAATAAAAAAAAATTATTGTTAATTATTTTGACGCTAAATTGGTATTTTTAGTATGAATAAGTTGAGAGTTCGTAAGAACGCCCTCCCAGCATATTCTAAAAGAAATGTGATATACAAAATCTGCTGTAACAATTGCGATACGTGCTACGTAGGACAATCTATGAGACAAAAACGAGATCAAATGAACATCAGATTTACATTCGTAGAAATATTAAAACGCATTTAGTAATTACCGAACGTAGGATAAATTGCGATCATGAATTTGCATGGAATAACGTTAAAATTTTGGATAATGAACGTAATCTACGCGATTGCGTAGATTATCTCTGAAATGCTTTTTATTAAAAGACAGAATAATAGCTTAAATTCACAATCTAATACTGAATATTTATATCACGCATATATTTTCGTCTTGAGCAAATTGTAAACTTGTTTTTACTTTGAATCTTATCAATCTTAAAAATCATCATGCTCTCAGTCATTGTCTTGAGCTGGAAGTATACGGACGCTCGTTGCGATGTACTGCTGTAATGAGATTTATGTTGCTCTTTTGGGTATTTTTTTTTTCTTTTTATTGTGACCTGTGTCCATTTGAGTGACAACCATTTTATAACTATTTTTTCTTTTTTATTTTATATGAATGATTTGAATGTATCTCACAATTTAAGATTTACTTAAGTAATTAATAATTTCTTTTAGTCAACTAATATATTATTATTATTTTTTATGATTAGAACTCCGATTGGACTCAGAGATATATCTTTATTATATTTTCGTACCATTGAAGATCACTCAAACTCGAGTCGAAATATTTAAAATTTTCTATTAATAAATGTAGTTAAGATTAAACATATAATTTGCGCATCGTTTACAGCGCTGATTCTCGCTTCGTTAGCCTTATTATAGTTTTACTTCTACGTAGCAGAATCTCAAATAAGTATTAAATTTCAAACTAATGATGAGTCGTCTTGTAAGTAAATTTGTTTGTTGTATTTATAGGTTTTACGCATGGAACTTCAAAACGGTATGGAGAATGGACCTGTTACTTTGAATCTCCCTGATGACGCTTCAGCTGAACATCCTAGACAAGAGAACAGCAATGTTGAACGCATCGAAACGCAAGAAAAAAGGACTCGATTCTCGCTATCGCACGACGAAGGTATATCAGTTATTGAATATAATTTTGTATTTTTTAGAACAGCTAACAAAACTTTATATTATTTTATTAAACTTATATAGATAAGTTGTTAGCTACAGAGCAACGTATGTTTCATAATTCTTTTATAATTTTATTTTTAATTAATCTTTTATGTGTTATATATATATTTTTTGTCATAAAAATTTAATATTAAAAAATTCTTTACTTGATTTTCGCATAAAACACGTCTACATTAAAAATAATTAGTATTGTTCGAAGGATCGATTGGCAATACATCCGACAATTTAGAAGCTGTATCAGAAGCCGCATCCAATCATAGTGTTGCTTCTTCTCTAGAATTAGAGACAGAAGATCAAAATGATAATCTCTCAGACATGGTGTCGGCTAATGTGTCGGGTAGAGGAACTCCTAATATATCAGGTATATTAATTTTTTTTTTTAAACATATCAGTTGTATTTATACAAATTACTAAAATTTCTGTATAATTATCAGGTCGAGATACACCATCCTCCCAAATTACTGAAGGAGATGATGGACGTGCTGCAGGTGAAGTAAGACAATTGGATTTGCCACCGCCTAATATCCCAACTAAGCAAAGTCGATCTGAAATTGATGATAAATTCTGTAAATTTGAGATTAAGAAACTTATTGAAGGTAAATACGAATTAAACATTAACAAAGACATATACGAATGATACATTTAAGACACGTAATATTTATTTAAATCTACTGATATTATTTATTTTTCTTGAGTTACTTATAATGTAACTGTTGACATATATATATTGTATTTTTTAGGAGACGAGACTGTTTCTATGGTATCCGATACTTGGTCTACGGATGTATTGGCCTCTGATAGTGAAATAGTCGAACAACAAGATCGAATATTGCTTCCTGTTCCTCCTGAACAGGTTGCACCTGTTTTGGCTGTTGAACCTACGTCAACCATGTTAGACATTAGTGAAACCGCCTCTGAAGCCTGGAGTACAGATGTATTGGCCAGCGATTCAGAAAGATTGACTGAAGTAGATACCGATGATACTGCTAGCGTTGCTAGGTATATTATTACATACCTCATGCTATATATATTTATCAGGGTTGCATAAATTAATATTATTTTTTAACTTTAAATTAAGTTAAAGTTAATGGCTTATAAAATTAATTTAGTTACAGTAAGTTAAACAAAAACAGTATAAACAAAAAACTTGGTTAAAACTAACTTGGTTAAAAGTTATGTTATTAAATTAAATTAAATTAAAAGTTAATGTTAAAAAATATTATTTATATTAAATTAGAATGTCATAATTTTTTAGAATTAAAATGTTCTAAATAACAAAAAATTACAATCCAAAGTATTGTATATTTAATATTTTATTTATTAATTAAGTTTATATGAAATAACAAAAAAATATTGCTTTTTTTACACAGGATTTTTACACAGGCGTTTTTTTTTTACAATTTTTTCTTCTACATAGATAAATTTTTAACTTAGGGAAAAAAAGATAAAAATTAAAGTTTATGTTTAAAAATAACTAAGAAGTTATAATATATATTAATTCATTTAAAATTAACTAAGTTAAGTTAAAAGTGAAAGTTTTTAACTTTATCAACTTTTAATTCTTTAACTAATTATTATCCAACTTGATATTTATAGAGAATAATTCTATTTGAAGACTTTTTCGAATTACCATTTGCATAGGTCTGATGATACAGCCAGATCAGAGATCGAAATAGAAAGCCGTGCTGATTCCGAGGGAAATGAAGAAACGCTTCAATCTGCAACTCCATGTAAGTAATGTAATTATATCGTACAACATTAACAAATCAAATGATTTTCAATTAAATATAATTAATGATTCCAGGTCCAGATGGCTCAGGCATCAGTTTTTCATCAGTGGCAGGAATTCGGGAAGATTCTGGCTCAGGAATCTCAATGATATGCCATCCGTCACCAACAACGTCTCCGTTACCATCATCGTCAAACGTAACAGGTCGTGGTGGAACCAAATCTGATTATCGACGTAGTACAATGGAATACGTAGATAAAAACGCTAACAATATAAGCAATATGGATTACGGTAAACCGTTGCGGGACGACAGACTGGTTCACTTGATAGATAAACTTCAAATAGACAATGGTAAGCAAGTTGAACGTCAAGCACCTGCGCACAATCACATCGCTGCGGCTGCAGTCGCACCGGCGTTGCTATTAGCTAATCATATTTCTGCGCCTGTTTTGCCAGAAAAGTCCCAAAACGGTGACGTGAAAGCAGAGGTTAGCATTTCTTTGCTTAATTTTTCTATCGATATTCTATTATCTTATCTTCTTATATCAAATGTCTCCTGAATTTAATGTGAAGATTGTAAATCAGGAATCGGACAACTGCATGACATCGGTCGGAGATACCGTAGGCCGATTAAGCACGGCTAGCTTAACATCCAGCAGCAGTTCTGGATCGGAACCACGTGTGAAGAGTAATATTTCGGCGTCGGATTTACCGACACCGACAGTTAATGGTACTTGCGATGCGGTAGATGGGTCAGTTCCCAATTTTTCCAAGCCAAATGCATCAACAGGAGCCATTCCAAAGAGCATAAGTTTCGACATGACTGCTGAACGTGGCGATAAAGAACTATTGGACGATGATCAAAAGAACAAACGTGGTTTCTTTGGTAAATTAAAGTTATCATTGAGAAATCGCAGAGGTAAAGCGATCCGCGGGACGGATGAGAGATATTTTGATCGAGAAGCTGGTGGCGACGGCGGTGTTGATATATGCAGACATAGATTGCGCAAGATTATGTCGGAAGATGTAACGTCATCCGGTAACGTCGCAGGCGGTAAGATATTAATAAATAATTAACTAATACTTATAATTGTGTTATACGCACGTTTTTATTACAATACAACAAACGATTTTATAATTCAATGATTCTCGATTAATTTTAGATACTACCGATGACATACTAGCGAAATATAGGAGAAAACCAAGTACAGCAAGCGACACCGCCTCGGTCGAAAGCAACCAGTCTCGCACAAAGGAAGTTGAAGACGAAAGACTTTCAATCGATCCAAACAACATAGAACTGTCTTACGCTTTTGCAGATGCTAAAAGAAAATTACGTATGGTACTTAGTACTGCTGACCTTCAACACATTCCATGGAATACGTCAGAGGTATTTATTAATCTTCAATTATAGCGTACAAAATAAAGAAATTCCGTCTTTATATTTGTTTAATATTTGTTCAAATATCTGCGTATAAAATTTAATATAAAGACACGTTTGGACAGAGACATTGTTGGTCGCAGAAAGAAAACGAATTGGTTGCATTTTTGCAACTACAATTGGCAGAAGCTATAAACTTGCAAGATAGGGCATTGATAGCTCATCTTCATGAAACTTTACGTTGCGTGCGTCTATTTAACGACGATGGATGTAGAAAACTCTTCAAATCTCTTCGAGAGGATTATCAAAAGCGGTCCCCTTATATCGCGTATTTAATCAGATGTCGTCAGGGATTGCTGTCGACATTAGCTCACTTAGATAGGTACTATTTACATGTAGACATAATCTGTATGTGTGGCATATAAATGAATATAATATGCGGCTACTTAATAATTTTAATATCTTCCAGATTATGTGTACGAGTTAAGTGCGATCGAGATGCTATCAATAATCATCTCGTATCCGTCTGTGTAAGAGTGTTTTTGGAAAAAAGAGAAGCTTTTCTCCTGCGTTTCTGCGATGAATTTAAGAAACTTACACTGGCTGATGAAAAGCAGGATCTCGTGGATAACTTTCTAGGGAAGGTGCACGCTGAAATGGACAATGACCCAATTTGGCAATGTATGTGTATGTGTTTATCTCTTGTAATTGCTCTAGCGAGATGATCGGAAATATCTCAAGTTATCTCTTATTTACAGCGGCGAGTGCCAATCAGTTAGATTTGGCAAGAATGGTAGTGGAAAGAACCGTCATGGCACGGGTGTACCACAATGCGCTTTATCCAAATGGAGATGGAGATGTATATAGGGACCAGCTTCTTCACGATCATATTAAAAAGTTGGCGAAGGTCGTAACTCCAAATCACAAGGACCTACGCATTCCAAAGGTTTATCATTACGAATGCCCCTGGCCATGGGCGCAGGCTGAATTGGCTGTGATATCGGCGTATAAGACTCCTAGAGATAAGTTACAGTGTGTATTTCGTTGCGCGACTACTATCATGAATCTTCTCTCCATGGCGTCAGAAAGAGGCATACCTGCTGCCGATGATCTGATTCCCGTATTAGTTTATGTCATAATCAAGGTATGCAATTGGGAAAAAAAAATTATTTTAGCAAAAGAAAAAAAAGTGAGTGTGCTAATTTATATTTAATTTCAGACTAATCCGCCGTCGTTACTATCGACTGTTCAATATGTAGACAGCTTTTACGGGAATCGATTGGAGGGCGAGGAACAGTACTGGTGGACGCAATTCTGCTCCGCGATCGAGTTTATCAAGACAATGGATTAACAGTTTCTGAGGAGTATCAAGATGAATAAGATTAAATTCGATGCTGGTGATAATGTAGAAATGTATCATAATCATAATTTGACGATTTCACAAAGAAAAAGACCAATATCTTGTGTAAAGCTAGCTGAACAGTTTTATGCTTCCAGTATCTTGTTTAAAATTCTTAAATAGTTTCTTAAATAGTCTAACTGTTAGTTTTTTCGCACGTAACATTAGCAAAGACTGAATCAGATTGTACGTAAAGCATGGCTTTATCTTTATTTGTAACTCTATTGTACAATTTCACAGAACATCGAAAAAAGAAACGTTTAGATATTCTATAATTTATGTGTAAACAATACAGAACTTACAAAATTGATAACCATTTAGCAGGATAAAAACTGCGTTGGAGTACTCTTTCTATATTGCATACCTTCCCCAAGAGCCGAGGCTATCGAATCAAGTTGGTGAAAAATATCGTACCACTTTCGTAACGCTTTTACAGTCTTTTACTCAGGATACATTTTAGAAATGTCGCGAAAGAAAAAGGAGAAATGAGATTCATCTGAATCGGAGATAGAGAGAGGATATAATGAAGGAAGATAGCTTTCGAGAATTTGAGCTCGTAATATTCGTTAATGTGTTGTGAGCGATATAATATATATTACTATCTCACGCTGCTATCATTGTACTATTAGATTACTAATAATAAATTAATATATTGGTTAACAGTAGCTTAACAAATAACGTTATCACATGCTCGATTTAAAAAGCAGAGCTTATGTTCCTTATGAACAACTGCAATAAATAATTCGAGGTAGAAATCTTGAAGAATGAACAATCCGGCTAGATGTATCAGGAAAATTGCAAATTGCAATAATCGAGAGCGAGATTTTCGAGCGAGGGAATCGATTGAGACACATTTTGAACGAGTATAATGTCAACACTTTAATGTAGCAATTTAACTGATACACAAGAGTGATTCGTTCTTATTTATAATAAACAACTAGTAATAATTATCACTTACAGTAAATATGTATGTATAAGGCGTAAAGCAAATAAAAATTTTATAACACCTTACGATCATCATATACACAACATTAATATCTTACCGGTGTTCTCCGTTGTATCGGAACGCAAAAAGGAAAGGAAAAAAAGAAAAAAAAAGAAAACATACGCTTTGATCTTTGTGTATCTTTTTCTTTTTCTTTTTTTGTACGATGTCAGCATATATATCACATCCCCGCGTTACACTGCACTGGCGTGCTTCACGGAGAAAAGGAAAGAAAAAGAAGAGGAGGAAAGAAACGGTAAACTAAAACGGTAATCTGTCCTGAGAGCAAATCAATATTAAAGTATGATCATCTGTGGATTAACAGTTACTACGATATAAAATTCCGCCGCTGCGCAACTTTCGCACCGGTCACGTCAGCAGAGATCCTCGAAGGTTTCCATTATGGAATTTCGTCATTCAAATGTTTGACATCATGTTTTCCGATAATGAACGTCGACTAGGATGTATGAAACATCTACGTGAACATCGAGGAAGCCCCGTACAGCGGCACATTTTATCCAGGGGCGTCCTTTATAGACAGAGACATCTCGGAAACGTTTTTAAGACGTCCTCTTATCCGATAGAACGTCCTCCGAATGTCTTTAGAAACATCTCTGCAACATTGGAAATCTGTGCTGTATGGGACGAGATTTTTCCATACAGCACAAACGTTGCAACTGTATTGCATTATACACAAACGTTGCAACTATATTGCATCGTAGTAATATTGCTGCAATGTTACAATATTGTAGCGACACGGTTTGCGCTGTATAGATTTCGGACGTGGCTGCCGTGCGAAAGTTTGATTGCGCAAATTATATTCGCCTTCAGGGAAACAAAACGCAATACGGGATAGAGAACACATACCTCGTACACTTAGCACCGATTAAATACCACATATCAAAGTAATAATAATGATGAATTTCATATCTCATTGCCGCAGAAGTAGAGAGGGAATGGGAATTAGAGAAAGTGTCGAGTACGCTTAGACGCCGATAGACGATTCGGCTCGAAATCTTAAAGTGGAAAAAATCCTCGGAAGGATTACAGCAATTATTTTCGGTTTGGTTAAAAACGAAACGTAGCGATACCGCGAGACACCGAGAATACTGTGAGAAAAAACATACGCGTCGAATTTGAAGGTGAATTTACGAGGAAGAGATTAATCTTTATCGCAAAATGTCTACGTTCCTGTGTGTGTTACATTTACGAGAAAAAACATCAGGTATTATTGACTCGATTTTATGTAATATTCTAATTACGGATCTCTTCACAATTAACTTTCAAGTTTACATTGGAGTAGCGAAGCTTGTCAAGACTCGATCGATCGGATAATTGTAATTGAGTAAATAAATAATTTACTTTAAATAATTGAGATAATTATGTAGAATAATAATGAATACAACAGCTAATTAAGACAAGAAATTTAACGAAGTAAAGTATAATCTTTGGAATGTTTTATCAACTTCCTCGATCAACTTTTCACAAGAAAAATAGCAAGACACTTTAGTCACTTGAAATCTACGTTCGATTAAATTTACAACGTACAATTTTGCAGGAAAAAGTGAAGTCACCTAAAATTAACTCAAACATCTCGTGCATTTTTGACGACTTGGAAACTTTTTTGAAACTTGAGAGAAACAGCTTCACCCCTACGGTACAAACTTTGCAGCTATATTGCAGCAACGTATCGCGTGTTCGTTATCGAAGTAGACACTAGAACGTGATGGTAAGAAAGTGCGGAGAAAGTTTTGTAAGGCATAAGTCTTTTTCAAGATCGGCGATATTCGCGTTTAGAGTAGCGCTATAGAATTCTTGATGCATAAGCGATCAACTCGCAATATCGTTGATATCCTAGGGGAGAAACTCTAATTAGTCAAGAACACTACGATCCCTTAGGCAAGAATGAAATCATTGAGATATAGATAGAGAATAGGGAATGTAGAGTATAAGAGAACGTGGTAGAGAGTTGATTTTGAGAGAAGTTAGTTTTTTTTTTTTTCCATTCGATTAACGGTTTTATCATTCTCATTTCTGTACGTCGGTAATAACATGAGAAACTATTTTAACGATTCGCTTTGTAACTCTTAACTTTGTATATGTATATCTTAGCTTAGAAAGAAATATCACGACAAACACACGAGCAGCAAATGTCGATATCCATCCCGCTCCAACGAACGTAACCGATCTCTTTCTCTTTCTTCGCACTTTTATTTATATATACATATATATTATTATTATTGTTATGCCCGCGCGAGCTTCTGCGGCCGAGCGTCGAGCGTCGAGTCGCTGTTTGATTTGGAGTAGAAGCGAAACGCTCTCCGGGGCAACGGTTGTTGTTTACGAACAAGTACGGCGCGGTGACTCGTGGCGGTGACAGATATACAGACGTGTGTCCGCGAAAGCATTGTTGTTGATCGGTTTGAAGCCTACGTATCGTTTTAACAAAAACGGCGTTGTTTATCGCCGAGCGCGCTTCCTCACGGCTTCCTCGCGCGTTAAGTGAGAGCGTCAATGACCGCCGCGGACGTAACAATATATTTAAAATCTTTTCTCCTTCTTTGCGCGTCTTTTTCTTCATACGTGCGACTTTCCGGAAAACAATAAACTATCGTACTAACTTTTTGACGAGGAATATCAGGAAGGAAAAGAAGAGATAGCTGTGACGAGAAGAGATCGGAGGATCCACTTCTCTCGGAGAAGAATGACGAGCTTGGTAAATTGGTTTCTGCTCTTCGGCGCGCGTTTCTTTCTCTATATCAGCATCATATCGGATAAGAAAGAATCAGAATGCAACGGTGCGATCAGATGAAAACGAGAAAAGTTCTCTCAGAAACAGAGGCTTCTCTCGGGAGGAGCGTAATTTCCAATAGTGATCTCGAAGCACGCGTTCAATCGCGAAAATGCTATGTCGTGAGTGTCACAACCGACACGATTTTCCTTTTCCTCTTCCTCTTCCTACAAGGTATATACACGTCGACACACGAACGAATAACGATACGATAAGTTTCCAACGATACACACACACACACGCACACACACACACACACACACACACACACACATCTATATATAACATCTTACCGTCTAACCGAGTTTAAAACTTACTACTTTACCAATTTTAGCTAATAAGAGAAGCAAAGATTAGTCTTCGTGAATTCATTATTGTTCCCAGAACGTCTACTTCGATAAAATGTACGGATATGGTATGAAGTGAATGAAACCTGTATCGAGATTCGTTCGTTTACATTACGATCACTGTAATTCTGAAGAATACAAGTGTGTTGTTCTTCTCTCAATCAATCAATTCACAACGAAATAGTTAGACGTAGTTACGCGAGAAGAAACCAGAAACGGGAGAGAAAACGCTGAAGCGATCTCAGTTTAACGCATTAGACAAAGGCTAGTGATAAAAATTCCGAATTGCAGCATCGAATATCGAAAGTTTTAATTATTACAGTTTTTCAACAACACGTTGCAATTGACCGTGTAAGAACAAAATAGATTTTGTCCCGCTTCCGCATTGACAGTCAGTTCCTTCTTGCATAATTAACTTGCAATTGTCACCAGGAACGGATTATCGAGATTAAACATCACGCAAAAGGCAGAAACGCCAAACGCTCAAAAAAATATATCATTTAGACATCAGTCGGAAAGTGCGAGCTAAAATTAAGAGACGTTCTCGTCTTTCAGGCACTATTTAAACTTAAAAGTTGAAATGTCTAAAGACACGCACATTTTCGACATGTTTATATCTTATTTATACTTTTCAACTAATCACATTGATCAAAAACAAATTTGAGATAATTAATTGACAACTCGATTCATTAATAAACGAGTATCATTTAGATACTTTTTTCGAGAATTCTTTAAGTGCCTTTAGATATCTTTTGGACTTTTGGCGTCGCTTGAATAGATGGGAATATATGGAATTTGTAAAAATAAAGGGTCAGTGAGCAAGTGTAGTCTTTTGACAGAACTTTTGATACTTGCGACACAATTCGGCGCCCACGCAGCAGAGAACGAGCATGTCTACAGGTTTTATTTCGCTTCGTTTTTATCTTATTCAGCCATTCATGCCAGAAAAATAATTTAAATTAAACGGTAAATTTTATCGAATTATTTGCAAGTCTATTTTCCGGCAACAAAAAGGCAATCTAATTGCCTTTTTCGTATTTTGCATTTTCCGTAGCCACGTGATTCGCCCACAAATACTTATTCTACATTCTCTTAGCAATGCAACATCGACCAAAATGATTTACATAATATCTTAATTACAATGAATTTTAATAGAATTCTTGATTGAATGAATTTAATACAATTCGTAAGATTATAGCGAAATATAGCGAAATATGATATAAAAAAACTAAATGTATGTAATGCTAATTTACAATACATTTAAACTAGAATGACAACGTGTGTCTTACATACTTTTGATTTTTTTCAGCAGTAATGAATTGCAAAATCCATATGGATATGTAAATACATCCTCGTCGATGTTACATCGTGTAAGAGTTTATTATAAGAACGCGAATTATGTAAGATTAGTTATGGTTAAGAGGAATAATCACGACTTTTTCGCATTCACATTTTTATCAAGAAATTAAATTAAAAACAAATATGTGCGACTTGTGTTTTTTCAATATCAGCAATTTTATATCTAAAAAAGAGAAATGAGATGATATTAAATGAAATTCAGACGCGTGAAAACCAAGATCAGATTTTAAGATAGCAGGAAATGATGAGACATCATTAATCACTAAACAATTTTTGTACAATTATGTATACAATTATGTGTATTATCATTACCTAATTAATCGCGATTCACGCGTCTAAAATCCAATATCGCTCGTGTTCTAATTGTGAGATCAATGCAATTCTGATATTATATATATATATATCTTACGGTCGTCTCTATGAAAAGGAGTTGTAAAGTGCATTACAACCGAATTCGAAAAATCATGCCATTTCTATGACCTTCTCTTTCGAGCTCTATAACATTTAGTCGCAATATTTTCTCGTGTTTATTGCTTTCTTCATTCGTTAAGGTACAATTTAAGTGCGTTTCATTCAGTGTTTGACTGCCGTCAAGTTTAACGGAACGCATTGGCAGTCCTATGCTATAATGCTGTAACATGGATTTAATTTTTAACGAACGCAAATTCCTTATGTTCCTTACTGTTTGTAAATCCGAGTCTTCCTTCATTTCCGTGATATCTTGTCGCAGAATAAAATCTATCCGCGTTTAATGTAATCGGAAAAGTTCAAGTGTAACTTTAGAATCTTAACGTGTACATACAATATATTTATATGTATTAACATTAATGAGGTTATTTATTTTGTTTATACAATGACTATACCGAAAGATTAGAGAGATATCATTAATCATAAATAGTCTTTATCCTTAAATATTAATGAGCACGAGGTGAATAGATGTACAATCTTAAAAAGTACAATAAAGATATAATATATAGAGACTTTTGCGTTATCTATATATGTATATATATATATAATATTTATCTGTAAATTATATCTATTTGTATAACGCGCGCGTATTTTTGCAAAATGCAATATTGCTAACGACCGGACATAATCAAGCAAAATTTCTCATTATGTCGCCGCGTTTTTAATATTGCCGGATCGAACGCCGTTGGGAGCGTAAGGCAACGAAAATGTTTCTTTTGGGGATATTGATCGAAAAACACAAAAAGTGATCGCACCATTTGAAAAGATAGACGAAGAGGAAGGGAAAGAAGAGGATAAAACGCGATGAGAGAAAGCCTCACAGAAAGAAAGGCGAACTGAAAAAAAGATTCATCCTTTCGACAAATAGCTACACGAAGCCAGCCGGAAGTCGCTTTTATCATACATCAGAAAAAGATAATATATATATATATATATATATATATATATAG